CATCCCGGCGTCTGGGGTAGAGGAGGCTGGTTCCCAAGATCCAGTCCTGGATCCCGTGAAATATTTGTAAGTACTGCTACCCGGGTAATACCTCTATGTAGACTGCCTGGAGACCAGAGCTGGGGAAAGCCTATTTTTCCCCTGGTAATGAAATTGCAGATACAGATTTTCACCAGCAACCCCTAGTCCTGAGTCAGTTTTTAAAATCATATTTAAGAATATTGGCTGTCCGTGGCAGCTAGGTGGCCCAGTGGATAGAGCACTGGCCCTGAAGTCAGGAAGACCTGGGTTCAAATCCGGCCTCAGACCAAACACCTGACACTTACCAGCTGTGTGACCCTGGGCAAGTCACTTAACCCCAACTGACTAAAAAAAAAAAGAAAAGAATATTGGCTGTCCAGAGTGGAGCCCAAATCCAAAGCCTTCCCAAAGGAAGGGGAGCTTCTCCATATGTTGCCATCTGGGGATGACCTCATGCTGGCTGCCCCACACCCTACAACACACATTTCAGAGTCACCTTGAGGACACCCTATGTTGCCAAGAGTTCAGCCTAACCATTCACACAGGAGAAACCAAGTGGATGAAAACGGCCCAGTGTCCACACCAGACGTGGTCAGGTGGCCCATCATGACATATATCTTGGACAATGAGCTGGGGCCAGCATCTGCCAGGAGAGGCAGGGCGGCTGGGGAAGTGCCTACTGTGTGGCAGACACTGTACTAGGCACTGGGAATACAGAGCCAAAAGCAAGACAGCCCCTGCCCTCCAGGAGCTTTCACTCTATGGAAGCTGTGAGCTGTATCAGGGATCCGAGAGAACCATCCTCCAACTCCTGCAAGGGAGAAGGGAGGCACAGGCTTCGGCAGAGCCACGTGGACGAGATCACGATGAGAGGTACCCAAATGCCGGCAGGCAGGCTGGTGCCACAGGGGCAGAAGCTAACCTGGAACAGCATGTGGCTGGGGGACTGCCGGGGGGGCCTGTCTTCACACAGGCTGCATTGGGTGCCCTCGCACTCGCGTTCTGGAGATTGTGCAATTCCACGCCCCCTGCCCTCTCTAAAGGCCAGCCTCCTCACTGGGTGGGCATCGCTGTCAGGAAAGTGGGTCCTGAAGTACACCAGCATTGACCTCCCAGCTTTACCAGGCCCATTACACATGTGGTACATACGTGAGAGGCAGATGCTGCCAGACCGATCGTTGGCTTTCACACATGAGGAGACACAGGCCCCAGGGCAGGCAGGCAGTTTGCTGGGGACCCCACATCGAGGAAGTGGCATGGAACCATGATAATGGAATTTCCAAGTGGAGCCAGGAAGGACCTTAGAGAAGATCACAAGTCCAACCCCCCATTTTAGTCAATAGCCAATCAACACTCATTAAGCCCTTACTGTGTGTCAGGCACTGTGCTAAGCACAGAGGACATGAACGTGAAAAGAAAGATAGTCCCTGACCTCAAGAAGCTTACAATCCAATGGGAGAAGACAGAACACAAAGCAAAGATGAAAAGGGAGGCAGAGAGGGAGAGGCCCCAGAAGGAGGGACCCAAGTCATCCGAAGAGCTCCAAAATGGGTGCAGCTGGTGGGAAAGGACTGTGCCCATCCTGTACCCTCCCCCCCAACAGAAGACTTTAAGGCTCTCCCCTCCAGTCAGAGGGGCAGGAGGGTCCTCATGAACTGTGACTGATGGGAGCTCACAGAGATGAGGTTTCCCAATAAGGATTTTACAGATGAGGAAACTGAGGTCCCGAGAGGGGAAGCAGATTGATCTGGTGAAGGATACCCAACTGGCAGGGAGTGCCTCCAAAGCCTGTTGAGTAAAGGTGCCAGGCCCTGTGAACCCAAATCTGGAGCTTCCCCACCGAATCACGCAGCCTCACAGGATGGGACATGGGAGGCTCCCTGAGGCCCCAAAAGGGAAGTCACTCTTTCCTCATCTGTGTGACTCATCTGTCTTCTCTGAGCCCATCCGGACACAAGTATCCACTTCCCTTGACAGGTCTCTGGGGCATGAACACCAGCATTGAGGCGCCCCCTGTCACCACCGGCCACCACAAGCCCCACAGGGACAAGCAGGGCCAGTGAGCCCCGAGCTACAAAGCAGAGTCGATTCAGGACTCAGAACAAGCCAGAGTCCTGACCAGGGAGAGCAGGAGAAGGACCATCCCTCAGACCCAGATCCATACACGCAGGCTTTGGAGCAGCACAAGAACCTCTCCAGATCCTCTGGGTAGACCTGTACTGTGCCGCCCACCCACCCCTCAAGGCCCAGCTTCGGGCCTTCCCCTGCCAGAAGCCTTCTGACTGCTCCAGCCCCCTCAATCAACACCCCTGCCCAGCCCTGACTCTTCCCTGGGTATGAAGCTTGGCTGGCCTTCAGACTGGGAGCTCCGCAGGGCAGGGCCCAGGCCAAGGGCTGAGCCTGGTGCAGGTGGCAGCCCTTGGCCTGAGACTCTACAGAGGCCCCAACGGGGGCTCAGTGGGAGAGAAGAAGCCCCTTCTAGGGGCCTATCCTGAGATGGAGGGCTGAGGGAAGAGCCTAACAATTGGGGAGAGCTCTGGGCGCAGCATCTGATGGAGCATTTATCAAAGGCCAACTGTGTGCTCAACCTTGACCTCCAGACAGTGGGGATACATACAGCCAAAGAGATGCAGAGAGGGCAGGCATCCCTCCCCAGGCAGAAAGACACAGCCATACAGACCACAGGGTCACAGCAGCCTGGCTGTCTCAGCAGCAAAGGCTGACGTTGGGGCTTGTGGCACGTTCCAACGATGGCACCTGCATGCTCCCATCTCCCAATCAGCTCTTCAGCCCTCCCTGAGTTGGGGGGAATGGGGTGGGAATTCTGGACCCATCACTCCTCCCTCTGAGCTCCTCGTCCTCCATTCCACTCCCCTAACCTTCAGATAAGACACACCTTCTATCCAGTCCATGTTCAGCAGACCATATACATGTCCAATTCATATGACAGAGCCCAGAGCCTGGTAGGAAGGGGATTGGAGACTGAGGATTGGGGATGTGAGTCCTGCCAGGGCCAGGGCTGGGGCAGGATCTGACGGAAGGAGCCTGCCATCCTATTTACCCAACCCACCCCCTGGCCCCAGGGAGAGGAGGGGAGGGGAGAGGGGGCCATGTGCACCCAAGAGCCTCTTCCCAGAGAGGAAGAGAGCCCTGTAATCTGCTCATCAGCCTGTCAGAGAGTCAATGGTCACCCCCAAACTGGTCCTTAAGCTATCACGGGCGTCAGGGTAGCCTCCCCGCCTCCTCCCCGTTAATCACAGGCTTCTACACTACAATTAACACCCGCTGCCTTCGCTTGCTCTCCGCCAACTGTCTGTCACAGTTGTGCATGTGTGTGTGTATGTGTGTGTGCGCACCCACACACACACACATACACTCAGATGTGTGCATGGAGGAGATGCACACTGGCACTCCACAATGTCTCACATGTATACATGCGCACTCTCGATTGCATGACCAAACAAATGGAGGGAGGCAGCCCAGGCTCCTGAACACCCCCCCCGACCCGTCTTCTCTATAGCCCACTACTCTCATCTCCAAGCTCTGAGGCTGCCCCTGCCCCCAGATTTTCCCCAAATGAAGAATGAAGGGGGGCTCCTGAGACCTCTGGGAAAGGGATCTTGTGAGGTCATCCTGTCCATCCCTCTGCCTCCAGGAAGCCCTCCCAAACAGCAGAGCTCCCTCCCTGATTCTGCATCTACACCCCACACTCCCTTCTCAAGGCCACAAGGAAGTTATGACTCAGAGCACATGCTCCCATTCTTTCAACGTGGCCATCCGTAGAACCCCTGGGAAGGAAAGGATCCCTCTCAATCCATACAACTCCCAGACTCCCCCAAGTGGGAACAGTACTGCCCCTTCCAGAGACCCTCCAGGCATGAAACAATCTCTCCACTACCAGAACTACCCAGCCTGCAATTCGGACCAGGCTGACTTGCAGGAAAGAGACGGAGCAGATGGAGAAGCCGCCTCCGTGGGAAGCCAAGCTCCCACTCATGCCAAGCACCAGCAGAAAGAAAGCTTCACAAAGAAATAGCTCCTTGTGGGGAGCCGTGCCTCACGGCCAGTCCTACCTTCACCCCCCAAATGAAGACATGATGAAGGAAATCCAACATTTCTGGGGTCCTGAGATGGCAGGATCTGAATCCTGGACCTCAGCCCCATCCTCCAGAATTCTCTCTGGCACCCGGCCCCTTCTCTGTACCCCCACAGCCACTGCCCTAGCTCGGGCCCTCATCACCTCTTGCCTGGACCATTATGATCACCTCTTAACCTGCCCCCAGACCCTCCCCTCTGCGGCCCAAAGGAATCTTCCTAAAGCCCGCCTCTGATCGTGGCCTGTCTGCATGGATGGACCATGGTTAGACACCAAGAAGAACCTCCCAGCTCTGATCTGGGTGGAAGGGACAGACGAGCAGCAGATGTGTAGGACAGGAGAAATGGGGAGCAGGGCCTGGGGGCCAAGTTGCCCAACCCCCCAGGGCCCAAAGCCGCGCTCTGCTCCCTTCCCCACTAGCCGCACCTTCTGGCCCACCTTCCGAGTCAAAGCTCCTTGAGGACAGGGCTTCTCTTTCTACATCTGGATCTGGGTATGCCTTCCTTTGTAACTGCTCTTAGCTCAGGACCTCGGACGAGGAGGCGTCTGCTGACCAGGCACCATGGGCCCCTTGTGGCCCCTCAGGAGCTTCCCCCAGAGAGCAAAAGAGAAGGGCGAAGCCTTTCACAGAACAATCAACTTCTGGGCAACTCGGCTCTCATTGGCCCTTTTGTTCCCCAGACTAATGGTTTAGGAGGCTGTGATTTGCTGGGAAAAAAACAGCCTCTTTTTTCCTGGGTTTCAAAGAGCCCTCAAGGAGGACAACAACCATCAATTAGCCAAACAAGAGTGGAGGACAGGTGTGTGTGTATTAGCCGGAGTGCTCAGCCCAGCCCCCCGCAGAGAAGCCGGTCAGCCATGGGGTGGCCGAGGCAGGACTCACCCAGGAGCAGTCCTCAGATGGCTTTCCAGGAACATGGACTGTCTGCTCAAAGGCAGGGGCGGGGCTGGAGGCAGGTCTCAGAGCCCCTGGAAGATGGATCCTTGCCAGGAATGGGTGTCCAGCTCCCAGCTGCGCTGGTCAGCTCTGGCCTCCTGTGAATGAGGAAGAGAGGAAGAATGATCAGCAGCTGAGGACCCCCTGGCACCCTGTGGCCTGGGACCAGGGCCCTGCCTCAGTTTCCTGTCGGGCTCCCCTGATCCCCGGACCCTGGCCACCAGGCCCATCTCTGCTCTGTTACCCCACGGCTCCGGCTCCCACAAAGCACTCAGGCCTGTGGCTCTAGAAGGCTGCAGGAGGAGAGCTCTAGGCTTGGCAGGGAGGGAAAGTATTTGAAATACCTCCTCTCTACTCTCCCCTCTTCCTATTCACAAACTAACATTAGACTGTTGGTGGAAGAGTTAGGGTTAGAGGGTGGTAGTAGGCAGAGCACCGGAAGTCAGGAAGTGCTCAGTTCAAATCCAGCCTCAGACACTAGTTGTGTGGCCCTGGCCAAGTCACTTTACCCTTTTGCCTCAGTTTCCTCATCTGTAACATGGCAAACCACTCCAGTCTCCTTGCCAAGAAAAAGCCAGATGGGGTCACGAAGCATCAGACATGACTGAAACAAACATTGGCAGAAGAGACATCATTGGAGCAAATGGAGGCCCAGAGAACAGAGATGGCCCAGTAACCAAGTATCCGTGGAGGAGCCGAAGCTAGAAGCCAGTGGGGCTCGACCCAGTGGGGCCAAGACAGCCTGGCCTCCTAGGAGGCCGGGGGAGAAGATCTGACTCTCATCTCCCCGTCCCGTGCACCCTCAGGAGATGCCCAGAAATCAAAGCCTGCCAGCCCTGAGTTTCTTCTCTGCATGTTGGCCTCAGTCACCACTCCCACCCCCAGTGGTCTTCAGGAGACCAGAGAAATGATCACCATGGGGACAAAGGCCTGACTGGGCTGGAGTAGGGGCAGTAGGAAGGAGATGAAAGGAAGCCCTCTCCTCCTCCCTTCTGGCCAACTAATGGGGAGACGGGGTGGGGGGGATGGCGGGAAGCGCTGTGCTCAGTCTTCTAATTAAAAATATCCTCTCTCTTTTGTTGAGGCCAGGGAGGGGCGGGTGCAGTGTCTGAACCCAGGGCCCACAGCCCAAATCTGCCCATCCCAGCTTCAGAGAAAGGGGAGTTCAGCCCTTCCTTACCTCCAGGCAACATCTCAGGGCTCCTCATAAGCTCTGCTTCAATGCCTCTCATGTACCCCCTCCCATCTTTCCCTTCACCCCATGTCCAACCACAAGAAGCCATGAAGGCTTGAGGTCTGAGGATAGGGCTGTCCCTTTTGGGTCAGGCGCCTGGTCCCAGGGCCAAACTGAGCCAGGCCTCTCCACCCCTGGAATTATAGGGTGAGAGATTTAAAACTGGAAGGGGTTTGCCAGGCCTGGTTCAACCCATTCATTTTACAGCGGAGGAAACTGAGACTCAGATTGAACATGCTAGGATCATAGACACAGAACTGAAGGGACCAGAAGCCATCCTGTCAAATGCCCTTATTTTACATATGGGGAAACTGAGGCAGTGATCTGTCCAAAGTCACACTGTACGTGGCAGAGCCAGTATGTGGACTCCCTGACTCCAAACACAAAGCTCTTTTCACTTCACCGCACTCTGGATGCCCCAAATTTCTAGAAAACAGGCAACAAAAAGGTCAGACCAGGCCAAAGACCCCCAGAGGCATCCAGTGTATCCTCCCAACTCCCCAGCAGTCCTAGCCAGAGACATAAGGATAACATTCAAGCTGGAGGGGACTGGACCAGCCTCCCCAGCTGGCTATTTCCTGAATGTATCCCTGGGTCTCCCACCTCCTTGGACTAGGCACTAAGCCCGGAGAGGGGAAGCCACCTGTCTGAAGCCAGCCAGGGCAAAGCCAGGGCCAGAGAAAAGAACCTGCCCCAGAAGAAGGGAGCAGAGCTGAGCTCCCTGACCAAAACACAGCCCTAATCCAGGAAAACAGGCCCAGGGCCCCAGGGCCGGCCCCCATCCGCCTCTGGCCTTGTTGACACAGCCAGTGAGCTGTAGCTACAGCAATATTTACTTTTAAATGCCGTGTTCCTGGTTCTCCCTCCTGTTCCTCGACCTCAGACACCAGTCCTGAGAGCTGTGTAGGGACCCAGGCCTCCTGGCGGAGATGCAGGGTCAGGAGTCAGATTACACACGTGCCCCCTGCCCCACCAGGCTCTCCTTCTCTAGGGCCAAGGGCGCCTAGCCGGGAGGTGGAATATGAAGGGTACAAGCCAACCAATTCACAGTGAGAGAACTGTGAGCCATGGAGCTGCCCGAGGTCACACGGGTGTCAGAGACAAGGCCTTGAGGGAGAACCGTCTCCAAGGTCCCAGCTGAGGGGGCGTCTCCCCTGATGCACTGCCCCTTTGAGAGCAAGGAAGGAGGCAGTCACATACCCACAGAGCCCACGTTCCTCATGACCACGGCAAGGCTGCCTGAGAGATGCCGGAGCAGAGGCTGATGGGGAGGACGGAGGAAAGAAGAGACTTTGGGTGCCTCAGAAAGGTCCCAGCAGCCCCACGCTGGGCCCAGACAGTGACCTCTCCTTATTTTACAGATGAGGAAGTTGAGATTTGAAGGGGAAGGATGGCAGGCTCATGACTAAGTCAAAGAGTGAACCAGGAGGTAAGTCCAGGGCTGTGTCTACTCTCCCCATCCTAAGTAGGCCAGTAATCCCTCTGCCCATCCCCCCTGCCCCAAGAGAATGGGGCACAAGGGTGCAAGAGTCCCAGTGGGGACCCCAGGGAACAGCTCACTGCCAGGAATTCATTCATTCATTCATTCATACCCAACCAACATTCTGCCTGGCTACTTATAAACATTCGTCCACTGAATGAATCCTACCCATCCTGCCCCCTTTCCTCCTTATATCCCATTCTTACTATAAATTCACAGAACAAATTCAATTAAATATTCATTAAGCATTTATTGTCTCTAGGCCTCTGGCTCAGTACTGGACTGTTTCCTCAATTCTACATTCATCTGCCAAGTGCAGGCTTTTGCCCAGGCCATATGCCCTGGGCCTGGATCATACAACCTCCCTCTTCAGGCTCTTCACAGTTCTTTTTAATTGTTCTTCCAGAACTGACTCAGCCAAAAGAGCTACCCCAGACACTTTCCTCCCTTCTCAAACTCACCTAAGTGGCCTAGTTGTATTCTACTTGGTGGAATGGAAACTCCCAGAGGGCAGGCCTGGCACGGTTGCTGTGATAACAACACTTGTAGGTGACCCCACAGATGATTCTCTTGGCAAAGATAACTGGAGTGGTTTGCTATTTCCTTCTCCAGTGTGTCCCCATTTTACAGATGAGGAACCTAAACAAATAGGGGTTAAGTGACTTACCCAGGGTCAGACAGCTAGAAAGTGTCTGAGGCTGGATTTGAGCTCAGATCTTCCTGATTCCAGGCCTGGGGCTCTTAGCCACAGTAGTACTCAGCCGCCCCTAGGGCCTGGCATTACAGATTCTGTAAATTAAACCAACACCCCCCCACACACACACACACACAGTGTTGGGAAGGGCTGACACAGGCCTGCCCTCTGGGAGAGTCGGAACCAGCAAGTCAGATAACAAGCTGAGGAAAGGGGAAGTGCGGGGTGTTCAGACTCACCCCAGAGGGAGGATGAAGGAAAGCTCCTGATTCCCTCCCCCAGCTCTTCAGGGCAAATGGGGCAAAGTCCACAAAATGTACCTGCCAGAGAGTCTCCAGGAAGCTTGGAGCCTCCAGTCACCCAGATCAGCAAACAAATAAATCCCCAGAGCCAGCCCAGAAGCCCAGCTCCAGGAACCCACAGGGCCTTATCCAATCCTTCTCATTTTACAATAGAGGAAACTGAGGCCCTAAGAGGGGGAGGTCACACAGCTAGTATGGGGAAAAGGCAGGATTTGAATCCAGGCCCTCTGACCAACAGGACTGACTGTTACTGCTCACAGGACGTTCCACAGACAGGCCCCTGCATGGCCAAAGAGTGAATGGGCACCCTGTAGAAGTGGACACCCAGGAAGGGAGGTCAGTGGGGACTCTGGAGGGCCACGTCTGGAGTGGGGTACGGACAGAGCCTTCTCCCTGGAGAGCAGGGCAAGAGGCCCTGGACAGAGGCCTGGGAGCTGACCTTGGGGGATGGAGCAGGCCTGCCTCAGGGTCTCCAGGGTGAAGTGGCTGTGCCGGACCTCTGACCTTGCAGAAGGAGGGCCCCTATCCTGGATCAGGGAGGGCAAGGAGGAAAGGACCCAGCTATTTCTGGCCTTCAAAGTATGCAGTCCCTGACTTGCCATGAGATATTTAACCCCAGATGGGAGTTAGTTTGGAGGAGAAAAGGGGCACCCTTAGTCTAAGGTGGAGGGCAGGGTGCTGGGGCCTGCAGAGGAATGCTGCTGGAATATCTGGGTATACAGGTCAGCAAGGCACTGCTCAGGAATAGGGGCTAAGGGCTCACTTTCTTTGGATGTTTGCAGAAGGGGGGAGAGGCTCCGTCTCACACAGCTCCAACTTCTTATGAACCAAAAGAAATCCTCAGATCCCAGGCCTGTAAACAGGAAATTGTGGTCACTGAGTCCTGCTGCACCCAGAGCTCTCCCCCAATCAATCCCTGTTTAGAACAGAGAAAAACCCAGGCCAAAATTCCATCCATTCGCAAAGCCAATGTCCTCCAGCCTGGCCACAAGAATTCCGGGGCAGCCTGTTAGCTCTACAGCCCCAGGAACGCCAGCCCCAACTCAGCCCAAAGGAGGCTGGGGCCGAGCCAAGCATGAGAGAAGGGCCGGGCCTGGACCCCACCGCCGTGCACAGGGGCCAGATGCCGGGCCAGATGCCAGCCCAGTGGAGGGGAGGCCAGCCTGCTCCAGGCAAAGGTGGGAACACGAAAAGCTTTACAATGGCTGACCTGTAAAACAGAGCTTCCCATCCATCCATCAACTCCCTGGGTCCTCAGAGTAGCCCAGGGTCTCCATCTTTACAGGTGAGAAGCCCAAATGGGACACACCTGTATGTGGCTAGGGTGCTTTCGAGGCCAAGTAAGGAAGGTAAAGGGCCCGGGACCAATTGGCAGGCCAGCCAGCCTTCCCCTTCTCTGGCCTCACTGTGTGACCTGGGACAAGTCCAGGCAGGGCCTAAACTTCATCCTCATTTGTAAAACGCAGGCATTGACTGAAGCCTCCTTTTCTCACCACAAAGAGTCTTCCAGATTCAAGGGTCTATGGTAAGTGCTCCTAAGAATTCTCTTAGGGGCCTGCTTTAATGTCCAGCTAATGTTCGGAAATAATCAGACCTTGGGGGCAGCTGGGTGGCACAGTGGATAGAGCACTGGCCCTGAAGTCAGGAGGACCCGAGTTCAAATCTGGCCTCAGACCAAACACTTGACACTTACTAGCTGTGTGACCCTGGGCAAGTCACTTGACCCCAGTTACCTAAAATAATAATTAGATCTTGGCGATGAAAGGGAAAGAAGGGGGACCCAGTGAGGACTAGGAGCCAGGGATTGGGGAGCCCAAACTTGGTTACCTGCCTCACCCCCCCATGCTCTCCCTGCAGAGACCTGAGGACCACAAGAGGACATCTTCCCAATCAGACTAAATATTTACCAGGAGGAAGGGCTGGGCTGGGGGCACCCTTCTTGGACAGGGCCCTGGCACTGCCTCCCATCTCAGGCCACAGTCACAAAAAAGACTAAAGTGTAGACAGTAGGTATTAGCTCCCTGTTAACTCCACGATGGGGGATCACAGGAGGGGAGACTGGGTGAGGGAAATATGGGTGCCAGAATGCTTCCCTGAAATGAGCTTTGAGTCAACCAAACTAATATTCCTTCTGGGAACCATAGACCAGCCATTCTGAACCTGGGGTTTGTGGATCCCTAAGAGGTTGATGACAGTAAGGCCTTTTCACCCCCAGGGGCCCATGACACATAAAAGGTGAGGAACCCCTGCTCTGGGCCATCTGATCCCCAGGGTTCTTCTCGCCCAGGCCCCCAAAGGGTGGCAAGAACCAAATATGGGAAACAGTGGGGGCCAGGCCTCACCGTCACAGCCATTAGTCAGGACTCACCCCCCAGCAATCATTTCCCCCATTCCTGCCTCCGGCTTTGTAGAAGCTAGAAGTCTCTGTTCCATTCCCCAGTGCACAGAAAAGGAGGAAGCCATGGTCAGTCACAGCTTGAAGTCCACTGTGTCCCACAAAAGTGGTCCTCACAGGCCCAATCCTCCCCACAAGTCACATTGCACTGAGTGCCCCAGGTAGGGCTGGGGCTGGAGGCAGGCACCGATCACCTCCCCCATCCCCGTATTGAAATCCCCCATCTGTCTTCCTCACTTCCAGGAAAGCCTTCTAGACAGGAAGCTTGCTGGGATTTCAAACACAGAAGAGAGAGGCAGCCTGTAGGCCCCGCGGGCCGAGCGTGGCAGAGGGATGCTCCCGATGGGAGGTCCAAAGCCCAGATGCTGTGGCTGAGCAGAGGGCTTGGTGGGATCCTCTTCCTCCTGGCAGAGGCCAGAGGATGGGATGGCCACGTCCCTCCCTGTAATCTCCCAGAGAGGAATCAGTCTGACAAGACACACCAGACAAAATGCTCAGCTCACCACAGCAAAGCCCAAATGTGGCCTCCAAGTCTGGCCAGGTCCCTGAAGCTGCCTCATGCACCGAAGCCAAGCCTCAGCCCCAACTCTGCACTCTGCCTCCCTCCTGCCCCCTTCCTCCACTCCACACAGGCCCAGGCTGTAAGCCTAGCCCTCCCATCCAAAGCCTTCCCAGCAGAATAGAAGGGCCGTGAGGGCAGGGCCTACCTCCCTTTGTGCCTTTCTCCAGCAGAGTAAGCGCCTCATAATTATTTCTTGGTCAGCTGCTCCAACCTGCCTGAATCTCCACCTCCAGCAGCTGACCCCACTGCTGACCATGAGTCCCTGAATCATCCCCCAGGCCCGCCTTCTGACTAACCCTTGGGTATCGGTCTTATCTTTATCCCAGATGGTGGCTCCCTCAGCACCTGCCTAGGCTCTGCTCCTCCTGAGTCTCCTCGTGTGGACGTCACCCACACCCACACTCCCAGAAGAGCCGCGGAGTCTGCCCCACAGTGATCCAGCCCCTCTCTGTGACAAGCCAGGCAGGGCCCGAAGGCTCGGGGCTCTTCCCCGTCCTGGAGCTGGCTCTGGGCTGAGCCGCCAGCAGGCCTATCCCCAGGGCCCCTGCAGACACAGGACATGCTCCTCGGCTGTTTATCAGCCATTGTCATCGCCTCTCCTCTGGAAGCTGCTCACCACCAGGCTGCTACCCCCAGGGCTCGGAGCCAGTGCGCCAGCCTGAAGCCTCTGAGAAGGGGAAGATGGGCCCCTGGGCTGGCTGGGATGGCCTTTCCATGCCCAGGTACCTCCAGCTGGAAACCTTGCTCCAGGATAACTGGCTAGGGGAGGCTGGATCCACTGAGGATCAGGCCTGAGGCCAGAAGACCCAGGAAGCCCAGCTGAGAGTCAGAAGAGCTTGGGCAGTTTCCTCATCTATCACTCAGTCAACAAACACCAGGGGCCCATGTGCCGGGCACCATGCAGGTTGCTCCAATATCCCTTCCAGCTCTAAACCCCAAGTCTGGAGATAGACCAGTAGAGCCCGCCAAAGCGGCCCCCCAACCATGCCTGAAATTCTGCCATCAGTGCTCCCTCAAAGCCCTCTTCCACACCCCCAGGACTGTCTCAGCCAGTACTTTTCCTAGAACTGGGTGTGCGCTGCAGGAATGAGGAAGGTCCTGGAGGACAGGAATAAGGTAAAGATGTGAAACCTGGAAGGGGAAGGAAACCAAGGTCTGCCAGCATGCAGTCCAGCCCCTGGACCTAGCGGGAGGAGAAAAAAAGATGGGTGAGGGGACTCGCTAATGAGGAGCCCAGGCCACCTCCCGCAGCCCACGGGCAAGTACTGGGTCATTTAGGTCTGAGGCCTCAGGAAAGCTGGAAGGTGAAGGCCGACCTGGGCCCGCCTCCAGGCTGAGGGAGGCTCCTGCTTAGATGCTGCTCACGCACGTGTGCACACATGGGAGTGCTCATTCACTTGCTCACTCATGCACACATGGCTCCCCCCATCCTGGTTCCCAGCCGCCATTTCCAAGCCTCCCCCCCCCCCGTTCCTCCTCCCTCTCCCCTTGGCCAGCTCCCTTGGCATTCATCCTCACAGCTCGAGGTCTCTCTAGGCAGCCTATGAGGGGCCTGGGGCTCGGGGCTCCGGCCAGCCTAGCCCAGCGAGCAGGGGAGCCAGCCCTGCTCCGGAGGCTTTGTTCCCACGCCCCCAACCCCCCTTAGCCCAGCTGCCAGCAGAACCTTCATCATGGTTGGGCAGGTCGCCAGCTCTGGCCCTCAGCAAGGGCCTGACTGTCCTTCCCCAAAAGGCCTGCCAGGCCCAAGGCCCAGCTTCAGGGGTGAGGGGTGGGAGTGCAGTGCATCCGAAACCTAACTGGGAGGATCTAGGTTGGATGCCTTCCTCTGTGACCCCAGGCCCTCCTCCCACCCCAAGTCTTGTTAAATGTGCCTTTGTGAGCCCAGCTTCCTCCCAGGGCAGTGGGGGCAGGAGGAGCACCAGCAGCAGCTGTGCTCCTGCTAAGACCTTCCTTAGGACCGTACCCCCTGTGCTCGGTACAGGCCCGCCCTCATGTCACCCGCCACTCAGAGACCCCTCCCCCCCAGCACAAAACAGATCCACTGTCAGACCACGGGCACCTGCAGAGCCAGGTATAGACCTTCCTCAGATGGGGCCCCACCAGAGCACAGGACAGACCATCCTCAGAACACAGGCACCTGCAGGGCCAGGTCTAGACCTTCCTCAGATGGGGCCCCACCAGAGCACAGGACAGACCATCCTCAGAATACAGGCACTTGCAGAGACAGACATAGACCCTCCTCCACAACAGGAACCCATCTTCTTGTGTAGACTAGAGACATGCAACTCCCAACTAGCTGGTCTACACTGTTGACTCACTAGCTGGGGGGGTGGGGAAGGGCACGGGGGCAGGGGAGGCAGCCGGTGAAGTGGTAGAGAGAAGCTCCCAATGCCCCTCATGGGCACTGGGGCAGCTGTTTGAGCAAGGGCAGGATTCCCAGGTGGACGAGACGGAGGAGACACCATGGAGGGCAGGCCTAGGCAAAACGCTTCTGGCACAACCCTGGCACTTCATCATGGGGTTCTGAGCTCACAGTGCCCTCAGAGCCCACCCACCATCTTACAAAGGGGCTTCTTCCAAGGTGCCCCAGATACCAAGTGGAAAAGACATCTGGAACTCAGGAACTTGGTCACCAAGTCCAGAGTCCTCCACCCCCCCACCGCCACTGCCATCCTATAGTCCGTGATTCCCCAGCTTCCTCAGGCCCAGAGGTCTCTGCTCAAGACTGACTGACGTGTGGTGGCGGGGAATAGCTTTCCAGTCTCTTCCCAGGCTGGTCAACCTCTTCCATTCCCTTTCCTGGGGTGGGGGTGGGGGGATTCTAAGATCAGAGCCCTGGGTGAGGCCAAAAGGGACAGGCTGTGACTGGGCTGGGGGGAGGGGGAGGAAGGGAGTC